GATCTCATTCAGGTTTGACTAAGAGAAACCCTGAAAATTACCCTTTCCCTTCTGATGTCAGCACCGCTCTGGCACCCTGCCTGTGAGTAACTGAACAGGAATGTTTCAGAGCTGGCTGAGGCCACCACTACAGCTGCAGCTTCACTTCCAGGCACTGCGGTGGGAGACCTGCTCTGCCCTGTGGAATATACAGACCAGTGCACAGGCACAGCCAGCCCCAGTTGGCATCAGTGGGTTTGTACTTTCTTGCCACCATCAGTGTCCAGAGCGGCAGTGTATGGTCTGAGAAGCACAAGGCACAGATTAGAGGGAAGCCTGCTCTGAAGATGGCTATTCTGGTTTAGGTTTATGGCACTGGAGCTGTTCTTTTGGGTGAGGAGAACGTGCAGTGTGATCTCTGCTGCCTGCAGAATCTTGCTGTTGGTTTGTTGCCTGCACTGAATTTGGAGGTGACTGTGTTTTTCTTGTTGAGCAGAGGTCTGGATCTGAATTCAGAAGGTCATTTAACCTGCTGTCCTGCTTCAGCCAGACCTGAGAACAGGGCAGATGAATGCCATGGAGCTGCCTCAGTGTGTTCCACTGTTTTGCTATCCTTAGCATTGGACATCAGGAAAGATACTGCAACTCCAGTCACTTTAATTATCTCTTATTGCCCTAGTGTCTGTAGGTCTGGAGAACAGAAGCAAAAGTGAATGGTAACCTGCTTTTGAACGGGTAGCTTTCTGCCTGTCCCTGATTTCAAGATAAACTTGATGGCAAAATGTCTCCCCTTACTTCCAGATGACTGTGCTTGCTGGGGATCGTGTTGAAGGCATTGGGTTGTCCTGCTTTGCCACCTGAACTTCTTCCAGTTCCACTCTGTGTGGAATCCTTCCTGTAGGCTTGTTTGGCGTACTTCATAACAGTCTGATGATGGATTTAAAGTCCAAATGACTGTAGGACTATGCACCCTGTACGAGTTTAGGAGGAGAATCTGGTATTCATTAACTGTATGTAAATAATTAAGCCAGTGCCAGACTAGAGGTGGTCTTCCCTTCAGACATACTTTGTGAAATGGTCTGAAGGACAGCTCTTACCTCTGTGTGGAAGATGCAAGGAGTCGGTGGAAGTGTTGGAGTTAGTTCAGAGTTGATGCAGGGTTTTTTAGTGAACCATTTCTGACTTCGGAGCTGGCACAGCTAATCAAGGAAAAGGCTTCCCATTCAAGGCCAGTTTACTGAGTGAGGTCATGTGTGCCCTGAGACTGCCTTTCTGTTGTGCTGAGGCTGCACGTGTTGTGGCTGTGGTGTTGGCAGTCCCGGCATCCTGCCCTTTGCTGGGGCCGCTCTGTGCACGTGGGGGTTAACTTCCCATTAAAACAGACCAAACTGACTCCTTTGCTTGCTGCTGCGTGGGGAGATTATGGCAATTGTAGTGTTTTGGATCCCCTGGAAAACCAGAGTATCTCCTCGTTTATTGTGAGACACCAGCGGGGCTGGTATGAGCAGTTCTCCATGTCTCAGAATCCTTTCCTTGCCTCGGTTGGGTGTATGGGAGCTCTTCAGAGCAGATGCTCAAGGCTCTATCTCTCTGCATTGAGGTTAATGCTATAGCTACGTTGTCTCTGGACGTGGAGTTACACCTGGGACAGTTTTCTTTGGTTTTACAGAAGATCATCTCATGGAAGTGTCACTTCTGTGTGCCTGAGGCAGAGCGTGGCTCCCCTGGAGCAGGGCATGTCAGTGGAGAAGGGCCTCTGGTGAGAGGAGTGTGCTAATCCTGGGTGAGGGGTCATAATAGAAGTGGCATCAAAAGCACTTTTCCTGAGCTCATGCACTGGAGAAGCAAAGCACTTGGCTGTTTGCTGCCTCCTCTTGGAGGTACAGAAGGGACTGAGAGACCTTTCCCAAATTACCCTGCCTGCCTGTACTTCAAAGACCTTTCTAAAGCACCTTCTCTGGCCTTCCGTTCGGTTCGCAAGGCACGGCAGCGTTACAAAAGCTTGTCTCCACGTTAATTGTGATTGATTGCCTTGCAATCTAGGACAAGATCCCCTTTGAAAAGCTATATGCTGATTTGGTGTCAGGAATTAAAATCAGATGAAGTGATTAGTGTTGGATGAAATATCCCAGAGCAGTTGAGTGCTCCTCGGCTTTCAACTGTGTTCTGGCCCTTAACCTTTGCCTCCCTTCTTCTCCGGAGCAAGGTGCTAAATCTGTTGTCCACATGCTCGGAGAATAACTCATTAGGCATATTATATCAGGAGATAATTTGCTGCTGAGCTTCAGAGTGTGGATTTACTGGCTTTAATGATGAATGCAGAGTGTGTTAAAAGTGTACTGTGTCAAGGCAACAGTGCTGCTCGTCCTGAATGGTGAACATGTGTTAAGGGGAGCTTTAAATCTGATCACTCTGTAAATGACAATAAACTGCTCAGCGTTGTCACTGCTGTCAAGGTACAGTCATGTCTCATCTTCCTTTTCTCATATGAGTTGTCTTACAGTTTCTTGTTATACCAGTTCCTGAAACCAGTGAAGACTTTGCAGCGTTGGCTGTTCCTCCTCCCCCCATGGCATTGGCACGCTTAGGAGTTCTTGTATCTTCTCACCAGCTGCCAGCACACACTCCTTTTAACCTGCTAAGCAACTCCCCACATTGCTCATTTTGCTTTGAAAGAGCTGGGCTTTTCTGGATGGAGATGAAATAAAAGCCCAAGGACAGAAGCGAGCATGGGGCAGTGGACCTGGGTTTCCAAACTCCCTACGACCAAGGGCTGGTGGGCTTTGTGTTTTCTTTATTACTATTTTTAAATAGCAATGACCTTGCATTGCTGTGGGGCTGGGATTCATGTTGGGCTTGCCAAGTGTAACAAACCTGAATCACGACAGCCTTGGCTTGATGAAGGCTCTAGTAGTGTCTTCAGTGCTGTCTGGGAGCTGGCTTGGCTGCAGCTCCCAGTTTCTTGCCTACATATTCTTCTCATTTCCCACAACCTCCTCTTACCAACACAGGCACGACAGCAGCTCTGCTTTCTGGATGCAAATAGATCATTTGGGTATAAATACTGGAGATTGGTTGTTGCCTGCTCTAAAGTTACCGAGTGTGTCCTTGGTAAATGCAGATGGTAACTTGTCATTACTGCAATTTTAAGTACTTTTGGTTCCATGGAACCGAAGTGGAGTCTTGAAGGCTGAATTTTAAGGCTAAAATAAGAGAAGGCTCAATAAAACCCACAAAAATAGCACCCAGATTTATCAGCTGCTGTAATGAGAAGGGAAATAACTTTCTATTAAGCGAAACAAAGTTTTGTTACCTTGTTTTGTGCTGGATATAAAACACTGCAGCGGGGTCAGGAGGGATGGATGAGATTTAAGGTGTCCTAAGTTGCTTCCTAATGAGGTGACACTGGGGCTAATGCCAGTGCGATGCGGACTGTGTTGTGAAGGTCAGCTCCTGCCCTGTACCTGAGTTATGGTTGAAATAGCCTTGAGGTAATGAGCAGATCATTACCCCAGCAGCTCCTGACTGGGATGAGGATGTGCCTTTGGGCAGCTACAGCTGGCTGGTGCCCATCACCCCATTGCAGAGCAGTGGTGATGTCCTCCACTGATGAGCCTGGTTCAAAGTCTGGAGGTGAGGTGATGGAGCATGGAGTTTTGTGCTCACTCAGACCAAGACTGCCAGCCTCTTCCACAGATTCATTCCAAAACCCAGATTTCTTGGATTAGTTTGGTGTTTCTTTACATGCTTTTAAATAACCCCAGTTATTCTGCAGGAGCAAGGGAGAGCCTGTGTAATGATGAAACGTGGCTTGGAGAAGCTACAGGCCCCGACATGCAGCTCTTAGTAAAGCAGGCAGCTGCTGTAGACAAGATGGAGCTCTGCAGGCTGAGACGAGGTACCCTCAGGTATCCTGAGCTGTACCTCCCTTATAATGAACGTGGCTTTGTCCTACTCTGTCTTGGTGCTGTGTGTGGTAGGAGAGGTAGGCCCATGGGGAAGCATCTGGAGATGCTTCTTGTGTCTCTCCATACCCAGCCTGGCACGGTGAGGGGTCATGAGGGTTTGCCTGTCCAGTTCAGTCTGTTCAGCCACCATTTATTCTGGTGTAAAATGAGACAGATTTGCAAAGTGATGAAATATTCAAATAGAGATGGAGCTTTCAGCCACACACAGGTGGGCAGGAACCTGCAGTGCTGCATTTTATGGATGAAGAGCTAAGTAGAAATTGTTTTTAGGAGGCTGTGCTAGAGGTGCCTGCTCAGCTCTTGAGTGTGCAGCAGGACCCAGCAGATTTCTGTGCAGAAAGGGCTTTTCATGGATTGATAAAAGCTAACTTTGTTCTGGAAGGTGAACTCCAGTGAGCCTCTTCCATTGGGTCTTCTAGGTTTGGAACACATCCACTGTGCCCAGTAGCAATAGCCATCTGCCTGTGTGGTCAGCAGTGCTTGTTTGAAAGGAAAAGGGGGTTACAGGGAATTAGCTGGATGGCTGGAGTTGGCCACAGGTCTGGATGTGTTCATGGAGCTTCTGGAACCCTTTCAGGTTCTCAGTGGTGCTTAGCACAGATACTTTGCATCTTGTGGGGATCTGAAGCAGCTGCCCTGGCTGATGGAAGTTAGATCACTTAAGCAGTGGTGACACTTGGTATAATTTTGCCCTTCCATCCTAGCCCTTCCTCCTCTTTCTTGTTTTTATGGCTTGCTCTTGGCCCAGGCCCATTTCTGTGGTACATGAGCTTGCTTGCTCCTTCTAGTGTGTAAGTAGGCCTGGAACGAAAATGCTGTAATGAGACACTTAACCATCTTTTGTTGACTTGCCTCCAGTTCATTAGAGCCAGACGTAGGAGGCTGGCTAAACTTAAAGCCTGATTTAATATTCAGGAAGGAAGTTTCCTTCAATCTTAAAAGGAACAGCACCTCACTACAACTGTCACGTGTTCCTTGGGATCATCTCCCATACAGCTCAGACACAGTTTTCTTCTCCTCTTGTTTAGATGTTGGGAAGAGTCAAGAGTGGCACTGCAGAAACACTGGGGTCAGTTGGTTGAATATTGTGTTTCTAAAGTGAGTGAAGTCTGGGAGTGAGGGGAGAGCTGGTTACCTGCTCGTGTGGGTGGGAGGAAAGGAGGGTTTTGTCCTTACAGGTGTTAGAGCTCACCCCTGTGAAACAGCAAACTGCTGATGTGACTCTCTGAATGTCTGAAAGCTTCACTAGTGTCCTGTACCATAACAGAATTGTAACCCTTAATTCCAACTGCACTGGATTCAGGCAGTGGTGTTTGTCAGGATCTCCTGCCACACTAAACCAACCCTGGAAGTAGTCGTCAGCTCCTGCTTCCACATCAGTGTCTGATACAGAAGGAAACTGATAGCCCAGGCAAGTGATCCGGGCTGGGCTGGGCTGTCAGATAGGGACATGGGGACAGCACTTGTTCTCCAGCCTGCTGCAGAGAGCAGGACCCAGGCTTGGGCTCTTCCCTTCTCTCCCAAGGTGTTATTACATTATGGTGTTTAGAAACAACGTGGATGTTCAGTTGTGTCATCAGTGTCTTGCTGGCAGAAGAGAGGTGGAGGGAAATGGAAATGAATCCTCTGGTTGTTGCCTAATTCTCTGGTGTAGGGGATCCCCTGTGCTGTTGCCATGAGGATGGGCATCAAGCCTGCACACAGGAAAGGTGTCCATGGGGCATCTCATGTTGCTTGGACACAGGCACTCTCTGAGCCTGGCTGTGGCCAAGCTTCAGTTTCGGGTTGATTTGGCATATAAACAAAGCTGAGTTTCCCCCTCTCACAGGTCCCTGTCAGTGTTCACAGTGTTAATCCTGCTTCAGGTCCTTTTGTACTGCAGCTTTCCCCAAGCCCAGGAAAACGTCCTGTTAATGCAAGCGTGTGTCTGCTGTTGAGTGTATCCTGAAGACTGCAGAAAACCAGCTCTGTGTTCTCTCTAGGTGGGACATCGGTCAAAATATGACATGGAGGGTCCTGAGGGACACCTAAACAATGAGGTGTGATAAGCACTGTGCTATGTGTCAGAGGGAACAACTGACTGAAGAAAGGAGCTGAAATCCAGAGCCTCGATAAGCTGGATTTGTTGAATTTGTTAAGGGGGGCTTAAAGTCAGGCTGGGAAGGAAAGACGAGCTCAAGAAATGCACTTGGTTTAAAAGCCAGGCTGGTTTGGCACCTTCCTGCCCTCCACCTTTTCAAAGTATAGAAACCCCTCAGAACCCTGCTTGTTCTTGGGCCTGAAAGCTGTACTGCTGTCGGGTTACTTCAGTGGAGGTTTGAGGTGGGACTCTCCCTTCACTTCCTACCGGCTCACCTTCTGATTGACTTCTTTCAGGGATAAACTGTTCTATGATGATACAACCTGTAAGCAAAACCCTGGTTGGTTTTAATCAATCTGAAGAGTATTAGTAAGAGTGGTGCTTAGGAAAGTCCTTTGAGATGTGTGGACTGGCCTCTTGCTGAGCAATGTTAATAGGGTAATTACTGAACTGTGTTTAGCCAGGGAGGTAGAGCTCACAGGAGAGCTGCTTTGAGAAAACTTCATCTGCTTTCCACAGGTAAAACTTCATGTTCTGGGTTTACAGATCCCCCCAAAGGAACTGGAGTAATAAATGTAGGAATGGGGCTGATCTTAAGTTTACAGCAGCTCCCTATAGTTGGAAGCAGGTGACTGAAGTCATTCAGAAGATGTCCTGTTTCCTTTGTGTGTGGTGTTGGTGTCATGAGCTTGTCCTGAGGGCTGAGTGTTAGCGGGAGATGGAGGGAATAGAAAGTGACTTGGGTCACACTGACCTCCTGGAATAAGTCAGAAATCAAACCAAGCTCCCTCTAGTTACAGAACTGAAACTATTGAGCAGAGCTCAGTTACTTGAACACGTTGGCAACCAATAATTTAATCTGTAGTGGCCATTGGCAGTGAGATGATAATGATCCATCACCTCTTGGCTGTATATTCAAATCTAAGCTTGATTCTAGGATGTGTGGGAGTGAGGGGAGAGTTTTATTTCTCTGTAGCTTACATCCTGCAAGTTTAATTCTGAAACCGATCCTGAACTATATTCCATCAGTCAGGTTTTGGTACCCAGAGTGTGAGTGGGAGCAACCCAGGCTGTTTCATTACTGGGGTGATTGCTCCCAAAGCGATGGGGGCAGGCAGGGAAGGTCACTGGCTCAGGCTCACAGTGTTGTCCTGTGCATAGTGAAGGCTTAAGGAAGTTGGTGGATTTCTCAAGTTTAAATAGGGGAGGGGAGAAGAAAAAGGAAGTGCCCATGCTAAAATGTGCTTGTCATTTAAACTGTCATGGGGAGACACTTGGTACACTTCAGTGTAGTGTTTACTGTGGGCTTTTCTATGTGTTCTGTTTTTGGGGGCATCTTTATCTGCTACAGGAGAGTCTTCCTCTTATCCTTAATTTCTCCTTAGCCTCTTCATCTCTCTTTAAAAGCAGAGCACCATAGGAAGAGAGGCAAGGAAGTATGACCCAGTGCACTGGCCCTCCAGAAGCTATAAAAGGCAGCGAGTTCAGGCTGGGATATTGACCTTAGCACAGCCAGTTGCACCTTAAATAGATCAGATGAAAATGTCTCTCGCTGAAGATGAACACTGTTTGCTCATGAATAAGGGTGGTTTTCAGTTTGTGCTCATGTCTCAGCTTGAACCCTCTAGGCTGGTTATGGAGGAATTGAAGTCGTGCATGTGTGGAGTTTCAGAAACCCCAGATGGGCATCAGAGCTTCTGAAGTGCAAACCAGAGGCATGAAAACTGCCAGCTGAAAGTAGGGTTTGCTGTAGCATCTTGGCTGCCTCTTGGGTGTCACTGTGATACTGGTGTTCCAACCCTTTGCTGTTAGTTCCATCCTCTCTTGATGCCATGGCGTTGCCATGGCACTGCCTTGGGTGGGGGATGCTGAAGAGAGCAACTCTGCTTTGATTGGTCAGTCCACAGGTGGCAGTTGGTGAGCCTGGCTGGTTTTGGTGGGGCTGTGAGGCTTTTGTGCCAGCTTGGGACAACCCTCCTGAGCATTTCACACTCATTCATGAGTACTTGGGCCTTATGTGCGGGTACCATCACACCTAATATATGGTGAGTATGTTGAGAACTGGATTTGTTTTGATTAAGGCATGGGTGGGCTTAGAGGTGGAGGCAGTGTGGATGGCAGGGTGTTAATGGTGTTGGAGGGTGGGACCTCTAAGACCTGACTCAGTGTTAAGTGTCTTGTGGCAGCCTGAGCTCTTGGTAGCTGCAGAGGACATGGAATGTACTAGAACTGGCAAAGTTCAGCACAGCCTCTGCACTGTGATTAGAGATGCTGTTTAGAAACATTCATGTTAAGTTGATGAAGCCTCTTGGCAGCCTTGTGATCAAGACAAAGTGTTTTCCCTGAGTGATGCTCTGTTTGCCATGACTCCAAGGTGGATGTTCCCCTGCCTGGTTGGCCTGGCTGGAGTTTCTCTGGCACTGGAGAACAGGCAGGGAAAGCTGCTTGTTTTGAGCCCAGATCTTTCCCATGAGCCAATGTAGGTATTACCAGCCTGTTAAGGTGAAGCTGTTGATCTTCTTCATACAGCTTGATTTTGATTGCAGTGGCACAGAAAGGTTGAGGGAACACTGGTGGTTTTATTCTCTTGCCTGGTTACAATGATTAAATCCAATGTGACCATCACCCTTGTTGACTAATTCTTAGGGAAGACAACTCCCCTTTCCCAGCATTGTCCATCACTAATACAATTCCTATAACCAACATGGCAGTGTGCTTTGTAACTTCACTGGTGCAGAGACTATTTGCCCTTGCCTTTGGGGTTGGAGACCCGAGGAGAGAGTGTGTTCTACTGAGACCTAGTTTCTTCACTTCAGTAAGATCCCACCTGGATTCAGCCTTGGGAAGGCAAGCAGGTTGTTCTCTGAGCCCACTCAGCATCTCCTCAGCTCGGTGACTTACAGGCCTGCGGCACCCGGTGGTCCCCATGCTCCGGCCATGGCAGGGGAGCAGCTGCCCCCCTCTCCCTGAACACACAGGGCCCGCTTGGGCCTGTCTTTGTACCGGCTCTCAGCAGCCAAACAATAGTTATAGTGCCGCCGGGGCCATGTGGCTCATCACGTGCGCGCCGCTGCTTCTGCCGGGGTCTTTGCCCATCTGTTCTCAGCTCTTTCTGGGTTATCAGGCTCGGGTCCAAGTCCTCGCAGGCAGCCAGCTCCATGGCCAGAGATTATGAGCACTAACCTTCCTGGCAGGAGTGGCGTGGCTTTGCTTTTATGCAGATTAGCCATGTGCTCCTCGCTTCAAGGCGTTCCACAGGAAAAGCCGTTTCCTGTGTTTGCTTCTCGGTGGGCGGCTCCGGAGCCTTGTACCGGGCCCGGGGGGTTGAGCCTTGTACACAGCGAGCAGGCTTGGGAGAGAGGGATTACAGCGTGCTGCCCCCCCTTCCCCTTCCACCTCCAGCGCTACGTCACCACAACACAACCACACGCGCGCTCATACTGTTGGTGTCATTCATTCAGTGCCAAGATTGCTTTAAAAAATTCCCTTGGCCCCAGTTCAAACAGGAGTACAGCTGGGATGTGTTAGATTTTAGGCAGTCTGCCCTCAATTTGAGATGAGTTATAAATAGCAGTGCCGACTTCCTTAACTACCACTCTCCGAGGTAAAATGCAGGTTAATGACTGTGGGAATCAATTAGGGCTTCTCCGGGTTAAACAGCCGGGAATGCTGCTGCTGAGTTTTGATCACAAACCCCACATCTAGGCAGGAAAAGACTGCGAATCCAAGGTGAGAGCTTAGGGCTTTTGGTACTGGTTTTGTGGCTTCTCCAGTTTTGGGGGGTGGTTGTGGCCGATCCCCACATTTGCCAGTAATGGAATGACGCTGATTTGAAACTGGAGAGTTCAGTAAAGGACTCTGCTTCCTCTTCTTCCTCTGGCGTAATAGAACACAAATGGAAGAAGGTTATGGGGAAAGTCAGGATTACGTTTTCCTATACAGCTGTGGAGGGTTTGGCTCCTGCTTCCAAAGTGGGATTTGCCT